TGCGTGCGTGCGTTCACGCATATCGCAGCGTCAGCTAAAAGTCACTGCAAATTACAAGCATGTATAATACTTTCATATACATATAAGAATATAAGAATGTAAATTCATCAATGGAAGTGTAATGTTGATTCTACAATGAGTCGGTAGTCAGAAATCTCAAATCTTAACCTAAATAGATGACTATGATTTTTCCTATCTACAAGCTGTTAATTATACAGCAAGTCGTTTAGCTCGACTAATGGGGAGGAATAAAGTCGAATTTGGCCAGACTTAGGAAAATCGGTTATAATCTTACTGTTAGTCATACAAGTCGACTGTTGACCAATTTCATCGCGATTCACCGATAAGACCGACTACCGATTCATTATAGAATCAACATTATACTTACATTGATGTACTTACATTCTTATATTTACAATATGCACTAATAAACATAGCACTTTCCACGGCAATCCTAATCTCGATACAAGCGGGTGTCCAGAATAGTCTAGAAATCAGTAAAAACAGTTGAGGTTTGTTTTGCACAATCGCCGCGGAAAGCGCCAAAATTTAATGAACATGTACATTAAAGTTTACTTACAGTGAATTGACTTACAGTTTAATTTACAGTGAATTGAAATATTATTTATCTCCGTATATTAAAAGTATATTAAATTTCAATACACTTATATATTTTAATTTACTTGAATTTAATTTCATTAACATATACATTAAATATCGTTTCAGTTACGAGTAATTTAAATATCATTTACCATTGTATATTAAAAGTTCATGAAATTTCATGACATTTTTAACATATACTATACTTTTACGTCACGCATATTATAGAATTTCAGAGATAAAAGTATGCTTTTATCGATAAAAACACATTCTGAATACGGGCCTATATGTATAGGTAATAGTAGGCATGTTTTTATTTTCTAAGTAACGTTTGTTGTTGCATAAATCGATCGAATATGTTAGCAGACTCTTGATTATTATAGTTTTAATCATCGCGAAAATACATTATAGAAGTTACTTTGCGTCATGAATCTATATAGACAAATCTATGTATTCCATTGATTTGACGATATATTGTACATTGATCATGATAATAGAACAATGATTGACTCGCGTACAGTTGATATTATCACTTTTATTATTATTTTGTAAATTTAGATGTGTCACTTTATGAAATCAGTTTTCATGAAGTCGTCTTTTCTTTTTTTTCTGATATCTGCTAGGATATGATTATATTGTCACAGTTTTTAACAATTCATGAATTTTAATTCTTTTAAAATTGAAGTATATAACTGCAACGCAATTTAACAGTATCGTGGCTTATTTCGAGCTTTTTAAACAAATGACTTAGAAATAATACAAATGAATAGCAAAGGCTCTGCAGAATAAATCAAAGTATAAAAGTGCCTATAAAAGCCGACACTAGGTCACTTGGTCATGTGTAATTAATTTATTCAATACACATTAAATTGTAGACGTTTCGTTAGAAATAATATATTTAAATAGATACAAATAATTCAATATAGATGAGTTTAATACATTATTTTATACAAATTAACCGAGTATAAAATTAAGTGAGTTATATAAGTTTGATATGATTGATTCTATAATTACTTATTTCTTATCAATGAGCTTATCATGGTTTGTAGACTTGTTCTACAGAGTGTAGTAGAGTGGCTATATAGAGGGAAAGCTCTCGGGCCGACTTGTTCGGGTCTGTGACGGGCTAGATCTTCGATGGTAACCGAAGAGTTTGATAGGGTGGTTCTGCTCTTGGACGTTATGAAACAATCTTTTGACTGAAGTACCTTTTCCTTCTCTTCGTAATGTTTCATAATAAGATCAATACTGACTTTTAATTTAAGAACTAAACACATCACCTCTGTTATAATAAATATTATTTGAAATAATTCATTCGATAGGGAATCATTATATGTTCGTTAGGGGGATTATGACATTAATATTATCACTGAAGAAGACTTTGTAAGCCGAAATGTTTGTTATATTGAATTGTATATTGAATTATTTGTACCTATTGAAATATATTATTTCTACACGCAAAAAAATATTTTGCTGCTCCAGCTAAACTTACAGCTTGTTTTTTATATCTGATAAACATTATAAACTACTCACAAAAATTAGAGGAACACTTTATATACACTACTCACAAAAATTAGAGGAACACTTAATTTTTTGTAAAAATTAGACAAAGTTTAGGCAGCTGTAACTTCGTCAAAAATGAATGAAATTTGAATTTAAAAAAAGAGTTTTAAAGCTTGAAATCTCTATTTTCGAAAGGTCACTATTTTTTTTAGTTTCTGCGAGTTTACTAATTTTTACGCATAGAAAACTATAAATTGAACGAAACGAGAAATTTTTATCTCACTTTGTGGGCTTGTTACGTGCGAAGAAAAAATCTGCGAAAATTTTCAATTTTCTCATGTAAAACTTTGAAGTTTTCCGTACAAAATCATTTTTTATAAATGTTTCTACGATTTTCTATTACCGAATTATCGTGGAATAAGTAAAAAGTGAGCACTTTGACTTTGATTGCTCATTACTCCGTTAAAAATCATCGTACCGCAATTTTAAAAAAAGATTCTTAAAGCTAAAACTTTGCTCCATCTGATGGTGTTGTTGCCAAAATTTTTTATGAAACGCGTAAACATGATACGAATGATTTAAAATATCGTAAAAATTAGCAACTTTTCCCTTTTTCATTTTCACTCAGAAAAAAATTGTGTGGATCAACAACAAAAATTTATTCTTCACGTTTTTTTGTGCTTCTAAGTATCCTGCATTTATAAAAAATTCGTCGAATAGCTATGAGATTTTTTTCGTGGTGGCCACTATGGTTTTATGCTGCAAAACGTATAAAAAAAAACTGGAAAATTACTTAATTTCAGTGGAAAAAAAATAAAAATAAAAAATAAAGTTCAATTAACGTTGGAAAATCAATTTCTACTGCTTCGACACTACACTGATTTTTACTAAGTGTCTGTATGAATAAGTTTTGATTACTTTTTTTTCACTGAAATTTGAAAAAATACCGCTGGTGTTAGCGTTATCCACTACGCGTAGTGGGCAGCTCTACCGGCGTAATGCGCAACGCTGCCGCTAGATGAACTCGTTTCCCGTAAAGAGAAAATTACGCGGATAAGAGACCTATAAAGAGACGTATGCAAATCGAGTCCGGCGTCCAGTACTTACTCTCAGCTTGATTAGTATGTTCCACAGACGGTCTGTTTGTGGGGCCTCTGAAACTTCTGAAAGTGCTTAAGAGTTATTCCCAAGTTGTGTGTGGGAATCCCAACTCCTTTATTAGATTTAAAATTTTAATTTTCTTGGGGATTTTATTACGATTTTAATTACCGTCATTCAACGGTTTTCAAGACCGAATGTTTTAATTGTCTTTTTTTAAAATTTATTTTTGCCTTTTTTATTTATTTCTTTTTTTTCTTTTTAAAATTTTAAATCTAATAAAGGAGTTGGGATTCCCACACACAACTTGGGAATAACTCTTAAGCACTTTCAGAAGTTTCAGAGGCCCCACAAACAGACCGTCTGTGGAACATACTAATCAAGCTGAGAGTAAGTACTGGACGCCGGACTCGATTTGCATACGTCTCTTTATAGGTCTCTTATCCGCGTAATTTTCTCTTTACGGGAAACGAGTTCATCTAGCGGCAG